TTGGTTCAAAGCATAAGACAAAGGCATGGATTCTGCGAGCCAACCTTTGCCAAAATGAAGTTTATGATCCAATAGAGCTTTCCCAGTGGGTAAATGGGAGAAGACATAATTGTTTGATTCTTTTTCCTATGTTACTCAGAAATCTCTGTAGAGTTGGGAGCTTTTCTGAAATGATGCCATTGAAGCTTCAGTGAATAAGAAATGCTTTCTGACAACAGGAATTTTCTGAATACTTTTGCTAATGAAATACTGTAACAATTCTACATTGAACCAGAGAATCAATCAACAACCATTCTTATGAATTTCAATAGAAATCACACTTCCTGAGCTTTCTTTTGCCAACTGGGCCTGCAGTACTTGCTGATGTCATCAAGCCATCTTGTTTTAGGTCTCTTTCATGGATGCTTTTTATCAAGTGGGATCCGTTCTATGACTGCCTTGGTCCACCTGCCATCAGTTCTTCTTGTTATGTGACCAGCCCATTTTTATTTCCATTCTTTTATTCTCTTGATGATATTGTATACTTTCGTTGGTTCTCTAATCCATGTGCGGGTCTTTCTATCTTGTCTTTTAATGCCGAGCATGCAACTTTCCATGGCTCTTTGTGCCACTTGTAGCTTTTTTTATCGATTGTGAGTTAGTGTCCATATTTCCCTGGCATATGTTAGAGCAGGTATCATCCACTAATCGAAAACTTCTTTCTTCAGGCATAGGGGGAGATTATTCTTGAAAATTATGCTTAGCTTACCGAATGCCTACCAACCACATTTAACATGCCATTCAATTTTCTTTATTGGAACACCTTCCACTAAGATCCATTGGCCAAGGTATAGGTAGTGATCTCCTATATCTAGTTCTTCTCCGGATATAATTTTTTTCCTTTCTTTGGTGAATTTATTAAACATAACCTGGCTCTTTTTCAGATTTATTTTTAAGCCAAATGGTTTTCCTGCTTTGGGCAGCTCTTGTATGTGTCTTTGTAGCTCTTCTGAGTCTTGTAAGAATAAACCAACAAACAAACATTTTTTTTCAGTCATCTACAAAAACTCATGTAGTGTCTTAAAAGCTAGCATTTTTTGAATAGGATAACTTTTAATGGACTTTAGTCAACAGACTGAAATTAGTTATATGGTAAGAGAAATTACTTAGGACTGAAAACAGCTCCACCGACACAGCTTACATATTTTTATCAGACTTATGCATTATATAAAATTGACTTCAGCAACTTTTCAAAAAAAAAAAAATTAAAGCAATCATAGGATAATTTTTCCAGAGGAATATGAAGCAAGCAAGTTACCATGCAAACTGCTTATACTGCAAATTTATGAGCAACACAGAAAGATATCTAATCTCTTTTCAGCTATTTAAATACTTGTCTAGTACTATTCCACTGTTTACAGTGGATGGGTCTTTTATTTGCAATACCCTGAGCAAGCTGATAGCACAGTCCAGGTGTTTTCAGCAGTTCTGCAAGGCTACTCACACTCCTATGCCATTTATTTTTAAAGTTTTCTGAACATTGTCATTGAGAATTTTCTTTGAAGCTTTTTCAGTAAATTCTGAATTTTAAAAGGGTATTATAATGAAGAGCTGCTAACTAACAAGGGAATGTCCTCAGACAAAGAACTAACAGAGAACAGCATCTTCTTGTTTCTCTTTCTAGTTAAATTATTATGAAAAGCTGAATTAAAGTACACAGCATTAATTTTAAAACTGTTTTCAAAGCAGTTCACTTATATTGCATTTGTATTATAGTAAAAGATCCAGATTGAGTCCCTGGCATCATCTTAGAGTGCTTGGAAAGACAGATATTTGGAATACCATTGTCAATTATTGTCAAATTAATTTTGGTACATTTTCTAATATTAGTTTTACCCTTGGACAGACTATTGCTAGCTTTTAAGACACTACATGAGTTTTTGCAGATGACTGAAAAAAATGTTTGTTTGTTGAATTTAAAGTCTAGTGCATCTCTCACTCTCGAAGCGGTCAGGGAAACTATGAAAAACACCATAGACCATATTATCTTGAGCATTAAATTGGTGAAATAAAAGGCAGGAATATATGCATTTATTAGACATGCAAAGCATTCAACACATATTGCAAAATATATTAATGCAAGTGAACCAGCAACCATTTCCTTTGAAAAGCTCATGCAGTTGTTCTAAAGCCTACCCCTCATTCTATATGCACGAATGTACAGTATATGTACAGCCAATACCTCTATTGAGATTTCCAGAGAAATGATGCATCCCCGAATGTGCACATATGTGCAGACAGTCAGTAACAGCAATCAACAGTGTTGTTCTAATCAACTAACTGACAGTTGACTGTCCAAACAACAAACCATACAAAGGACATATTTAACCTTTTAAAAAGCAGTGCTTCACTCAACCTAGCCTTTTCAAATGTTTAACACAACCTTTTTATGGGTAGGCTCATCTTATACAGTACGTATTTTCTTTAAAATGGCATTTGGGCAGCTCTTGAGATTTCTAAAACCATTTAGAAATAGTTTCTAGTGATAGAACTGAGTTCTATAGTTTATGTAGCCAAACTATTGATCCATTGGTACGAGGAAGCTATCAGTTTTGGAGATTCCATATTTAGAGAAGTACAAATTTTTAGAGGAACTTACTTTAACTAAAAAATAAAAAGTATAAAGACAAATAAGGACTGGGCATGCTCAGTAGCCACAGGATGCTGACAGGGGAACCCTGACTAGGATAATTCCTACCCACCACTTCAACATCCTTAATTAGATAATACCGATTTTGTATTGAACTAAGGCAGCTATTTGGCTCAGATCATCCTATGTACAGTAAAGTGGTTCTCTTTCATCCTTCTGCTGGAAGAAATATAGTGTCAGTAGACCATATGTCAGACACAGGAAACCAAAAGCAATCCGGCATTGAGCCATGGGACCCCTTCAAGTTATATCATGGGCATTGCTTTCTGAAAAGATGGATGTGTTCATTGCAGCTAACCTCCGTGAATCTCCTTTCAATCCCAACACAAATATTAATTTAGATTTTGAGGCCTTGAGCATCTGACATATTAGACATTTCACACTCCACTCACACTATGATTAAGCTGTAGCCCCATTAGCCAATCTGCCAGTTGCTTAGCAACATCATTTGCCCTTTGAAAGCAGTTGCTCTTCAAATGTGCCAAGTTTGTTGCAGTTACCTCAGTCCATGCTCCATGATAGGGAGGTTGTCCAGAAACAACAGGCCCACATTTTTAGGTGTATTCATGTTGAAATAAAATAACCACGATCACCAAGAGAAAGTTTAAAATATTTAAAAGCAATTAAAAGATTAAAAGCAATTAAAATATTAAAATATAGGCAACCAAGCTTTCGTTGGGCTCTCCCGTCATCATCAGGGTTGATAAAGGCGGTTTCGGGGAGGGCTTATATGCCGCCTCCAAGTGCTTGCATCCGGCTACGTGACCGTGTGATCGGGCCCAGGTGTCTGCGCTCCTGCGGTATGAAAAGGATGCCTTACCTGCAGAATAGACCCAGCCAATCTGGCTGAAAATACCCCAAACTGCACTCAACAAATGTGCAACACTCCAGCTATCATGTTTACCAGCTTATTGTTCACACAGAGGATGAAAGCAAGAGTCCAGTACAAGCCTGCACAACTTATGGAGAAACTATTATTTATTTCTATTTATTTAAATGCATTGGCCACCCAACTCCAATGGCCTACACAACTCAAAAAAACATTAATTAAATCAGACAGACACCCCAACTAAAGTGGATCTTATGAACAACAAACTTGACAACATATTATACTACAGCATATTATTTATTATAAGGGCAAGACTGATAACTGAAATAAATTTGTGGGCCACAAAGCAATACCTGGCATGCCAGTCAGCTATTTGGTACTAGCAGTGTAGGGCAGTATCAGAGCTGGCAGTATCTGTGAGTGACTAGGAAAACACAGGTGGCAATGAATCTTTCCTGAAAGTGGCATTTGGTGGCAGTGAATTATTTTTCAAAGGGTACCAGCGGACCTCAGACGGCTGCTTGATTGTATGTTGTTGCAGGCTTTGTTTAGTGCCCAAGTCATTTGGACCAGAAGTGATAACAGTACTGTCTTAAATCCAAATTCTGTGTTTTAAACTCTCAGTGCACTCAAACCAATACAATCAAATTGATTTTGAGCAGCAGTTCCCTCTCTGACAACTTGGATATGTACTGTAATTGCATTTTAAGTACCTTGTATGTGAAACATTCATTGTTCTAATAGCAAATTTGGTTGATGAGTACTGCTAGGAAAATAATTAGTTTCGGCAGAGATGCAAGAAGGAAGCATTTCCTTCAATTTTAGAATAGACATACGTATATTTAGATATTTTAAAGAACTGCCGAAGATGGTAGAGGACAGGAAGGCCTGGAGGAATGTTGTCCATGGGGTTGCGATGGGTCGGACACGACTCCGCAACTAACAACTCTTTGTTGTAATAACAACAGCAACAAAGAAAATAACAACTGCCATCATTCAAGGACTTCTTTGTAATCCACTATCATTCCCACTTGATTATGGTTATATGAAATTCAGCACAAGAAACTAATTTTTAATTATAAAATATAATCTAAATATTTCAAATATAATATTTAAATATACCTGTTTTCCTAAATTTTCAGATTTTACTTCCTTTATTGAATTATTTAGACCCACTATGTTGCAGATTCAGCAATGTAATCTTTTGTAATCTAAATATTCATTGTTCAGCTTGCTGACTTTTTCCAAAGGGTTTTTTTTTGCAATCATACATATGATATAGCCAAGCAATCTATTTGTATCAAAAGATTTTATTCAATGCAGCGAAAAGCACAATATTGTTTCATTTTGCTTCTTTCAAAGCAGTTGATAATGTTAGTTGAAATCCATACACACACACACACACGTTACTTTGATTTTTTTTGTGTCCAGAAATAATGAATCTAAATTCATGCAGAAATTGGATGGGGATTACAGAATTGCTCAGATCTGCAGTACGACTTCACTGAAATATTTTCCATTGCATTTATCAAAAGTTTCATCACATATGTCTGGAGGGAGTTGGTTATTGTTATCTTTAATTGGAGACAATGGTTCTGATTTTCTACAGGAAGGTAGTATTTCTGATTCCCTACAAGCAAAAAAAAAAAAGTATGGTTAATAATGATATAGACAAGCATTAACAAAGTTTAAAGTGAATTGAATTTATTGTCAGTCTGCTCAGAGCTACATTTTTACTGCATACCAATAAAAATAACTGGCTGGCTTTTTCTCTCTTTCCACTGCCTCCCCACTACGTTTTGGAAAGTAAGTCCTGCCAAAGTGAATTACCCAAGATGGGAAGAAAATATACTGCTTTTGCCTCAAGAAGCAGCAATCTCTTTATTCCCAGCAGCAGAGGGTACTAACAAAGTCAAGGAGAAACTGCTTTATAGGAAAATAATGAACCTAGAAGGAATGAGAACATATTTCTGAAAACTGCCTCTGGGATAAAAATTAATACTTTAGAGAAGAAGATAACTGATAGTTTGGTTTTATTCTGACCTTAAAAACAACCCCTTAGAACATGTATATTTTGTTACAAGTAAAGAAATATATAGAGAAGTCAGAATTAAATTAAATTTATCTGTAGATAAATGCAGAAATTAAGCCAATGGAAGAATTCTGCTGTTTTTAAAAAAGCTACAACCACAGGAGATAAAAGTTTATTTCCTTGGCATATATTTTATTCCTAGTCATTTACAGAGGATGAAATTCAACAAATAGTCCTAAAGCTAGAGGCAGAATGAGTTCTTTTAAATATGTATGTCCCCCCCCCACCCTTATCTAAAGTGAACCACTCTTGGCAGCTTCCATCAGCAGACAAACCTAATTCTCTGGGGATTCAAATGGTTACTTTAAGGACTATAAATGCACTATTCTGTTGAGAAGTCATTAAGCTAATGACATGTTTTAGGGCCATATATTGTTTCATCAATACTGCCCTTTCTCCACGGAACATTGAAATAAAACAAATGAACATCTAGATTAAAAAGGATTCACCTTTTGAACTGGAAGCTCTTCCAGAGATCATTAATTTTCACCTGCAGTCCTGACTTGTTTTCAGCATCATGGTGTTTTTTCTTTATACTTGTTATTTTCTTGCTTAAGCCACTAACTTTGGCGGGCACCAGTAATTTACATTTTGCCACCATAGAAGATTTTAGAGAATTGGTTCTACATAATGCAGGAATCTGAAAGAGAGAGAGAGAGACATTGATAGAAGAGAATATTTGTAGTTCAGGGTTGAACTGTGGGATCCTTGGTGATCTCTGAGCTAGGTGGTTTCCTTGCAGACATTTCATTATCAAACTAGGTAACATTATCAGTGCAGGCACATTACCTAGTTTGGCAATGAAACCTCTGAAAGAAAACTACCTAGCTCAGGAAGCATCAAGGACTGACAGAATTGACATTGTAGGCATAAAGAAGGTACTGATTAGCCTCAATATTAGTAATAAACTTTAAAAAATTCCAAGATATCTTTTGGTTTGTATTTCATTTTTGTGAACACAGCTATTAAAAGTAATTTTATAGTTGAACATACATGTCATTTCAAACACTTAAAACTGGATTTGTATAGCACACTTAATTCTAAAACAAGTTAGCAACGCACAACTGGATTTTCATTTGCTGCTATGTTGAAATAAATAAACTGGGTGTCAAGGGTGAAACTTTGGCAGCTACATGCTTCTGCGCTTCAACTTGCCTTTAGATTAAGGGGGGAAGTGTTACTTTCAAGTGGGTAAGGAGAAACGAAACTTCCTCAATTCAGCTGAAGACTGTGGGAACCCGAAGCCTTGTCAAGAACACCAGAACAAGTGTGGATTTGAAGCAGACGGTTCCCATAAAAAAGTGAACTTGTTAATATGGATTATGTAAGAAGTTGGGGGTTTGGGTGGGAAAATTATTGTTTAAGTCTATGAATTGGTTTTGGAACCTCAAAGTTAGTTTTACTTTGACATAACCATGCAGTGTATCCAATAAACAGTAAACATTTCAGAAACAGAATGAAACTGGAGTTTTATTTGGATTTTCGAGCTGGATATTGACACTGGGTTAGTGGAGAGCATGATTCATATAACATGCTGAGAAAATAGCTGGGCTTCTTACAATATAATAACCAGAAACAATTCCATGTTAGTCTTGTCTAATTGTTATGCAAACTCATTCCAAAATATTTCTGAAATAGTTTCACTTGTATTAAAGAATCATGTGTACACACACACACACACACACACACACAGAGAGAGAGAGAGAGAGAGAGAGAGAGAGAGAGAGAGAGAGAGAGAGAGAGCATGTTATTTTTTTTATATCCTGGAAACAATATAATAATATAATTGTTGTTAAAATATAAATACAATTATGCAAACAAAGGTTAATATAGACCTACTTCAAGAATGAGGAAAAAGAAGTAACTAACCACAAGATGTCAGTATAATTCTGAAGAATATAAAGAAGTATTTTAATCTACTAATGACATTTTGAGTGTTCTGTAGGCAAAGATTATTAAAAATGGCTTACAGCAGAGAATTTTAAAAACAATAAATCACACAAAAAAGAAAAAGCTAAAATAATCCATTACAATCTTTTCAATGTATCTTTATATGAGGCTCCATTGCTCAGAGTTCATTCTCTCTTGTTAAATACAGTATCAGATTTTTTATTCAGTAGGGATCAAGTGACTAATCATACTATTTCCAAAAGGAAAATTAACAATATCCTCCCATTAAGGAAATTAAATTAAAGAAATAGAAAAAATCCAATTGAACATGTTTGATCAACTATCAAAACCAGCTGTGTTCAACCTAATCCCAAATCTTATGATCGGTGTGGAAAATTATAAACATATAATTTGTACTTCTGTTCACTAAATGATTTTAAAATGAAATCAAATGAAATCAAATGTAGTGTTTTAGAAGATTCTAGCATATAAAGTAACTCTCAGTTTAAAAAAATACTGCACAACTTTGAGCTTCAGGAGAGAGCATTCTTTATTCTCTCTTTCCTGAATAACATGATCTGAAACAATGAGATTTGCATGATTTAAAGCCCTTCATACACACTTAATTAAATAAGTATTATCAATTGTACTGCAATTGGCAGCCTGAGCTGATACTGTATGCCTTAGGCAACTTAATGATTTTATGATAGATGTGAGGGTCAAATAAAAAAAATTCAGATTTCATCCAAAGCTGACTTTGGTTGAAACAAATTCACTGAATTTGCATATGGCGCCACACTGCTTCAGTTTAAAATGAATATGACAGAAGAGAGAGCCTAAAGTCTGAAGCTCACATCAAATAGCTCAGTTGTGGTTTTAGCTTACCCTTTGAAAACAGGTGTTTATCGCTTGTAAGAAACTACTGTAGCCCTAACATATTATGACAACCTTGTGTATACAGGTAGTCCTTGACCTACGACCGCAAGTGAGCCCAAATTTTCTGTTGCTAAGTGAGAAATTTATTAAGTTTTTGCCCCATTTTACAACCTTTCTTGCCACAGTTGTTGAGTCACTGAAGTGGTTAAGTTAATTAAGTGAATTTGGCTTCCCCATCTATTTTGCTTGTCAGACGTTTACAGAAGGTGATCTATCACCTGACTGCGGGACACTGCAACCGTCATAAATATGAGTCATTTGCCAAGCATCTGAATTTTGATCACGTGACCACGGAGATGCTGCAATAGACAGAAGTGTGAAAAACTGTCACGAGTCACATTTTTCAATGCCGTTGTAACTTCAGTCACTAAATGAACTGTTATAAGTCGAGGACTCCCTTTACTTTCAAAGTACTAGGAATAGCTCTGAGGTAATAGCTCTGAGCTGCAGCTGCCAAAAAAGTCAACACAGTGCTAGGCTGCATTAATAGAGGGATAGAATCAAGATCACGTGAACTATTAATACTACTTTATAACGCCTTGGTAAGGCCACACTTGGAATACTGCATCTAGTTTTGGTTACCACAATGTAAAAAAGATGTTGAGACTCTAGAAAGAGTACAGAGAAGAGCAACAAAGATGATTAGGGGACTGGAGGCTAAACATATAAAGAACGGTTGCTGGAATTGGGTATGTCTAGTTTAACGAAGAGAAGGACTAGGGTTGACAGCGATAGCAGTGTTCCAATATCTCAGGGGTTGCCACAAAGAAGAGGGAGTCAAGCTATTCTCCAAAACACTGAAGGCAGGACAAGAAGCAATGGATGGAAACTAAGAGAGAAGCAACCTATAACTAAGAAGAAATTTCCTGACAGTTAGAACAATTAACCAGTGGAACAACCTGCCTCCAGAAGTGAATGCTCCAACACTGGAAATTGTTAAGAAGAGACTGGGCAAATATTTGTCTGAAATGGTATAGGGTTTTCTGCCTAAGCAGGGGGTTGGACTAGATGACTTCCAAGGTCACTTCCAACTTTTTATTATTATTATTATTATTATTATTATTATTATTATTATTATTATTATTATTATTATTATTATTATTATTATTATTATTATTATTATTATTATTCTTCAATGGAGGGGAGAACAGGAGTACTATTTTAGTTATATGACAGGATTTTGGTGAACCTAAGTAATATTTACAATATGTTATAATTAATCCATATATGTTAAGACAGGTCCTGTTTCCAAGTCATACTTTAGTATTTAAATAGAAAACAAGAATTATAAATGAAGAAGAAGAAGATATACCATATTTTTAGAAACTGTGTTCTTGTTATCTATAAATTCTGAAGATGGAAGGATCTGAGAATTCAGATGATCATCTGGTTCTGGACTTCTGTTAGATTCCTGCCATTAAAAAAAGACAGGCATTGTTTTACATTAAATGTGAACTCCATGCTATTTTTTAAAAGTAAAATGGCTGAAGCTATGCCTAAATGAAATGCAGTAAAAACAGTTATGATTTTTCAATCAGTATGCTCCTTAAAAGTGATATTAGAATCAATTTCCAATAACTAGCAAAGTGACACAACAGTTATAATCCTGTACCAACTTTAATGAAAGTCAGCCCTGTTAAAACCAATGATGATATATATCGGAATGTCTGTTAGAAAATGAAGATACATATCTGATAGCTTATCATGTTTTGACACTCTAACAGTTAATGAAATTAAAATGTACGTATTAGTTTACAGCAATAAACAGACTGTCAGGCAGGCAGACTTTGAGGTTTCATAAACAGAAGTTATTTTATAAATGCAGAGACAGATGTGTAACGATTGCAATAAATAAGGACAGTTTCAGACAGTCCCTGGAGAGTGCCATGATAATTTAATAAACTGCTGAACTGAAACATAGAATAATCTTACTTTGGCAGGAATAGCATTTTTCTCGGCCACTGGCGATTTTTCTGAAGTATCCACTTCGCTTTGCAACAGCTTGTCAAGATTCTGTTTTGATGAACACTGCAGATCTTTTAAAGGTGATGTCTCTTCATCCGAATTTTTATTTGCTGGTGAGGTTATTTGTGTGCCAGTTACACTACAGTCTTTATCTGTGTCTTTCCTGTGTCTTTGGAACTGCTTTAGCAACGCTATGGTTTCTGAAAGGCTAGGAGTTGCAGGTTTTTCTGCAAAGCTTCTAGACCAAGTGAAACAGCTGGACTGTCCTACCCCAGGTGTTGAGAAGGTTCTTTCTACTTCTCCAGTCTCCGATGAACATGGACGGTGGTCTTCTGTTAATGTGTTTATTTCCTTAGTTGGACTATCAGCCTCATTGTCCTGGAGAGGCTGTTCAGTTTTATTCTTCGATATAGTCTCAGGCAGATCCCCAATGTTGCAGAAAAACCTAACATACATTGAACAAGTGTAGGAAGAAATGAGAGATAACATTAAAAGCTGTGTGCATTAATCTAATCATGTTAAAATGTTACAGTTTTACTGAAAG